GTGATTATAATACAGTGCGCGTCAATTGTATATGCCACCCCCTAATTTTTTCAGTTTTCCGACTTATTTGGAAATTTCGTAAATCGGCATAGCAACCATCGTTTTCGGCGTGTCGGAAAACTAGGAATGGTGTTGTTTGATTTTGGTTAACGCGTGGATTTGAATTGCTCTGTTCTTTTGAAGAAAATGGGCCGCGTCAATTGCTTATGCCATCCTAAAGTTTCTTCAGAATTTCTCATGTCTCTAACGCTATTCAGCTACGGTGTGCATGTAGTACAAATGAGGAAATCCTCCACTTATGCAATGCACACAAATGGTGAAGCATTTATAACTAATTAGTTCGGAATATTAGCCCTAATACTGGACGGTAGCAGCATGAAAACGCTTTATCAGAGAAAGTGCTGTGTGCTCACTCTTGCGATCGCTCCTGCTGCTTATTGTAGAACTCATCGAGGAGTGTATCCAGGCAAAACTGGGGAAATTGAAGTGCTCAAGGAGCTCTTAAATTCTCATTTTCCCGCTTCGAATCCGTGGTCAACTTTATTTGTGGTCTCGGCTCCCTGCGAAGCTCGAAGCGTTCACGCTCACAAAGTCTCTGTTCAGAGAGAATATGAGTTGCACTCACACAATCCGCGTAGTACCCATCGCCGAACTTTGTCGGATTCTCTCTGGAAAAATTTTCGTACCGAGCGAGCGAAAATGATGACATGGGCCAGTTGTAACTTGAACGGGACACCGAAGTGGTGGCATGGGCCATCATTGCATCGCCTTGATAAGAAAACTTCGATCGAGTTCAGTGATGGGTACCAGACGGGTAGTAGGTACGAGTCATGTTCTCTCTAAAAAGAGACTTTGTGAGCGTGAACGCTTCGAGCTTCGCAGGGAGCCAAGACCACAAATAAAGTTGACCACGGATTCAAAGCGGGAAAATGAGAATTTAAGAGCTCCTTGAGCACTTCAATTTCCCCAGTTTTGCCTGGATACACTCCTCGTTGAGTTCTACAACAAGCAGCAGGAGCGGTCGCAAAAGTGAGCACACTGCTCTTTTTCTGATAAAGCGTTTTCATGCTGCTACCGTCCAGTATAGGGCTAATATTCCGAACTAACTAGTTATAAATGCTTCACCACTTATGCGCGTTGCATAAGTGGAGGACTTCCTCTATATGACATGCCCACCGTAGCTGAATAGCGTTAGAGAATGAGAAATTTTGAAGAAAATTTAGGATGGGCATAAGCAATTGACGCAGCCCATTTTCTTCAAAAAAACAGAGCAAATCAAATCCACGCGTTAACCAAAATCAAACAACACCGTTCCTAGTTTTCCGACACGCGGTTTTGGGGCAAAAAGATGGTTGCTACTGGCCCGATTCAGCCAGGCTTCCAAGTATTAGAAACTGAAAAAAAATCAGGGGGTGGCATATACAATTGACGGCGCACTGTAGTACCCAGTGCGAATCAAAAGTATTCAATGTTTGTTACCGCTTTCGCTTTTTGAAGCCGAGAGCATGTGAGCAGAAGCTGCACTGTTTGAATACAGGGGTGGCCAAAAAAAAAAGAGACACTTCACTCAACATTCAAAACGGAATTATTTACGCGTCGCGAAACCAAACCAAATGACCCCAACTGAATATTGAAGAGCACGTTATAATCTATCAACAAGCTACACAACAGCCTTCTACACCGACGACATCAGAAGATTTTCCCACGGAAGCATTGTGCGCGGTACGATCTCAACGAGGTCGTTGAGATACCATAGACGATTACGACGTCTCTGAAACGCTGGTCAAAGCGGTTTTGCACATTCACAGCTAATGTCTCTGGGAAGCTATTCAACAGTTAATCCACTGAGGAAATTATGTAGCAGCTTCAGGCCGGAGCGATTACGGTAAGCCTCGTTGAGCTCGACGGTGGCGGCAGATGACGTCATATTCTGAAGACGGCGGGGGCAGTGAAGGAGGGCCTGCTTCTGTTTACGGGGGAACACCTAAGGAATATTTCACCGTAAAACTTCATTAACATCGGCTCCCTGTGCGACGAAAAGTTCGATGATGTGCGCCATGGGCTAAGTGTCTCTTTTTTTGGCCACCCCTGTAATAATCACAATTCCGTTCATGGTCCACCCCAAATGGGCCTAGTATTGTCGTAGAGAAACAAATGTAAGTAGAAAACCAGATATTATAGAGTCGTTCTCTGCGCCATCAACTTCCCTATATGTACTTTTGAATGGGAGGCAAACAATACAGTCCTAGGAAGCATTGTGGTAACTGTAGGCGATAAAGGAGTCCGGAAGAGGTACCGTCTCCACACTTCAAAAAACCTTGGGCGGCTAAACGCGCTGCTCACAGTGGAGAGAATGCTGAAGCCCAGGAGAATAGCATTTCTGCCTAAGCTATGGGGAAAGACCAGCTCTTTGAATCGTGAATTACTGAAGATGGTTAAATAGTTGGGTGATATGAATCGCTCGGTTGGGTACTACTTCGGTGAGAGGACGCAGGCGTGGGCACCGAGGGAGTGCTCCCACCCCCGCCCTCCCCCACAACTCCATCTTCACCCTTCACAATCTATGGATCAAATATCATCTGACCATCGAAAAATCAATCAATTTGGTTTGGTTGTTCAGGACCACGTTCTCTGAAAGTTTCACTTTTTCTACACCATAGACCCAATATGAAGTTGTATGTTTCCACAACCCTCGATGGAATTCCAGCTAAATTTTGCATACGTGGCTCTCGATTTAATTTATCAGCTGGTGGAGCCATTTTGATAGAAAACCTTACCTCAGAAAAAATGGCACTGCCAACTAGAAGAAGCTCTGACGGGTTTCGCGGCTGCCATGCATGATGGATTGTGGAGTAAACTGGAGCGAATGTCTTCCGGAACTTTTCAAGCACTAATATTTATTTTTACAGCATGTCCGGCGGGAAATGTGGCTTACGTCGACCCGAACTCGCAGATGCCAATCCATTGCAACGAGGCGCTCAGTAACAGTTGTCCAAACGGATACACCTGCACCTTCAACGCATTGATCAACAGCCATGTTTGCTGTGGAGCATCTGATCAAGGTAAGCTTGCCACATAAGAAGTTACCGCCTAGTTTATGACTGTGACTGATTTGCTTCCACCTAGGCGTCTGTCCTGAGCAAGAGAAGGCCTTCATCAGCACTGCGGACATGTCGCCAAGAGAATGCATTGTTAATGTGGATGCTTCCTGTCCTGCTAACTATCTGTGTCGTTTCAACATGCAGAGGAACAAGTACTACTGCTGTACTAGCATCACTGGAAGTGGGTTCCTCAGGTTTAAATAGCATTAGAAGTGAAAACATTGACAATTGCCTTTCTAGGGACCTGCCCTGCTGGTAAATTCCTGCACAAGGACCTTCATACATCCATGCCTACACGGTGTACTGTGGGACGAAGTGATCAGTGCCCAGACGGTTATTCCTGCCAGAGCTATCTACCAAACTCTTCGCAGGGTTTTTGCTGCACTAGTAACGGTAGTTCCACACATTCAGCGTGTCGAGGATGGGTTATATGAATAGACCTATTTAGCAGTCTGTCCTGATGATGCCGAGTTCTACGTGGACGATCAGTCGCAACTGCCAAGGGCCTGTACAATGGGTACATTCGTCAGTTGCCCTCAGGGCTACAGCTGCAGGTTGGTATTTCTTCCTGCTATACCTTTCACACTGGATATCCAATCTTTTAAGGTCGCTCACATCAGCCGTAGAGGGATTCTGCTGCAGAACAGAATCGACGGCTCCTGTTCACATTACAGGTACCTATGCTGTCGTAGTTATGATGGGAATGTGGGAAAGCAAATAGACCGCCAGATTTTGCCGATTTCAAAATTTCACCCCTCCCCCCTCTTTCTCTCCATAGGAAAGTCTCACTATACGCCCCCTTGACCCCCTTCAAACAGTCGACGGTGTCGATACAGGTGTCGTTTTACCTACCATCACTTGACGCACTCGAACTTCGCCCCAACCTTTTCTCCAGAGTTGGCGTTGCGCCAATCGATGTAGGACGCAGCACCTTGAAACAGCAGGCATTGGGCATATACATCCATTACAGTGCAATTCCTATCACAATAACCCTATCTAAAAGTACGAGTATACCAGTACGAACACTCATCCAAAAAATCTTGGTACGACCATTCGTAAGAATAATCTGACTTCAGGAAGATAAGAGAGTGTGATATCGAGGTTTCGCGATGGGCTACTGAAATCGGTGATTTCCTCGTGCAAGGGGAGTTTGTGGTCCAATGCTCTTTCTGTGATTTGAGAAAGTGAGTGGGGGAGGGGTTTCTACAGAGCCTGTGTCATACTTTCCATCTCAAGATTGGTGAAGTTGAAATATTTGTTCTAGACGGCTGTCCTCCTGGAAATTTCGTCTTCATAAACGATGGAGGGGATACTGCCACATGTGATCCGTTCAATCCTCCGAATGCTCCCTGCCCGGAAGGCTTCACCTGCCAGTGGTCCACGTCTAACCAAAGGTGGTCCTGAAATGGTACGATCCGTGATTGAGTTTAAGCAACTCTTCGTTTTCAGATATCAGTGTTGCGGTTCAAATCCGTCACCGCCATCAGTCCGAATCAGTGAGTGTTCACATCTTCCTCAAAATACTTCTTTCTACTTTGAATGGTGATTTCTCAGGTGATGGCTGCCCGAATGCACAATCGCCTTCCGAGACAGAAGGGACAGTCCGAGTTATGCACGCGGAACTCATACGACTTGTCCTCCTGGTACGTTTGTCATTCTCAAATCAACAGTCAATTCCAGGTGTTGCTGGAGGTCAGTGGTAGCGTTGATTACAGAATACATTTTGCTTTTGAATCCCATTCATTACACTTCTTCGTGATGGGTTCTAACGAGTTCCGGTGGAGTTGTGGGCTTTATCAGGGGGAACCTGAAGAATGGACATGAGTGGCGGACGAGTCAAAATGCCAATTGATTGCCTTGTTCAGCGCTATTTCAGGAAATATCATTACTTGGCTGCGCTGACGAACTAGGGGTCAGTTTTGAGATTACCATAAAGTTTTACCATTTCATTGAAATCCTTCTCCAAGTCTGCAATGCTAGACAAGCCTGAGTTTCGGATTTTGTTCGCCTTGCTTCAGAACCTTGAAAAAATTGATCGGACCCTCGAAGCTCTAGCAATCTCGAGACATTCCATACACTAGAAAACTCTCAAGTCGTTCGGTCATGGGAGAGTAGTGTTATTAGATTACCGTTGATGCTGTTCGCCAAAAGCGAGAGAGACCACAACAAAAACTTGGATTTGAGTACACTGAGCATTAATAGCTCCAGCTCCACGACCTTAGTGTGGATCAAAATTGACGGAGGCCGAGAAATTGGCGTGGTCACAGGTTATAGCCGCACATTCCTCTCCTATTTGATTTTGGGGTCCTTTGTTTTAGATGGCATCAAGAAGTTTCTGCGATCTTGGCGCGCCTGTTATTTCCAGCTTCTCAGTCGATCTCAAAACTAGCGACTTAAACTGGAAAAGGCAAAGAAAGCCGACCGCTTAGCCTTGTGGGTTATTACCATTTTTTGGAGAGGCTTCAATAACTTTACAAAACTTAAGTCTTCATGTCATAGGGTTAAAAGAAAGCCGATCGTGGACTGTAATCACCATGAAGCTGTTTTCAGTGGAATGCTCATCCGACGAGATTTCCGTGAACGGAATGTGTTTGCCACGATCGGGGCCTGGGCAAGACTGCCAGCAGTCTGAGCAATGTACTGGTGGTTCAGTCTGCGATGCGGCAGCTGGTCCTTTGTCCTATTCACTAAACCGATCGGTTGGATTCTTGTCAGCGAGCTAAGTAGTTGTTTCTGATTGGACTGATATGCAGTGCTCAAATAGATCTTTCTTTCTGTAGAATGTGGCCCTGAGCAAGTTAAGCACGGCAGCGTCTGCCTCAATCGAGCCGAACTGGGGAAACCGTGTGAGACCTCAGAACAGTGTCCTGATCGTGAGTCCTGTTTCCAATTGGATAACCAAAAATCTTTTGATTTCCACTCAATTTCAGAGGGAGTATGCACGGACGGAATCTGCGTGTGCAATGAGAGGACGGTAAATTTGAACGGCAAATGCACGTCGCCGATGGCCCGTGCTAAAATTGTACAGAGCAAATGTAAGTCTACTATGAGTACTTGACCTTCCCGACAACTGTGCTTCGCATGCAGGTCCTCGGTGCTTTTATGTAAGATGAGGCTTCTTTCGTTTCTATTTGCGGCTGGAGGCATTCGATAATGCGTGCGAATGCAACTGAAAGGCGTTTGTTCTCGGCGGAGACAGGTCGGGTGGTGTCTGACAGCCCGAAGACAGCAGTGCGCCATTGGTATCTGCCAATCAAAACAACGGACCAGTACCATTGCTGCTCGGTTACCGGAAGCTCATTTTCGCAAGTAGGGTCATATAGTTTTAGAGCATAGGCAGGGGCATCTCATTGGAATTCGCCTCTGCTATCGCGTTTAACGAGCGAATAGGATTCATCACCTTAGACTCTCAGTTTATGGCACTTTAATGCCGTCCCTGGAGTAAATGTAGGTTTCTACTTCAGTGTGCCCATCGGGACGTGTGCCGTACCTCATAAATGGCCTGCCGCAACGGTGTACTAAACAACGCTGTCCAAGAGGCTATGAATGCACTTACAAGGACCACGACTACTTATGTTGCTCGACTGCAGGCAAAATCTCTGGGAAACAGCAGAGCTCAACATCAACTGCAGGTGGAAGCGATATAATAACATCTATACGTTCAAAACAAAATCGTGCGTGGTTCAGGACCCGCTGGAGTGGTAGAGCAGTGTCCACGTGGAAATCCTCTCATCTACCCGTCCACTCGGTTGCCTGTGGTCTGCACCCCAGGCAAGAAAAGCTGTCCTATAGGGTGAGTCGGAACATATCGGACTGCCTCCGACGTGCCAAAAAATGAAAGGTGCCTCAAAGGCAGTGATCACGATGACTGGAGGCCTTTTGATGATGTCGTTGAACGTCACTGGGGAGGGCGTAAGAGGGCGGTCCTAACCACAACCCCCAGCATTCTGTTGGATCTGCTCCCTTAACAACAGATGGCGTTGGCTTCAGCTTTGACGTCATCAAAGCTGAAGCCATCGCCATTACTTCCTTTCAAAAGAAAACTGCTGTGCGGTTAAATCGCCGGCAGCTGCGCCAATTTGCGCAAACCTACCCTCCTTTTCAAAAACGAGAAGAACGTCGGGTGCAGACCATACACCACAAGTGACGACGGCCTCCACAAAATGTAAATGTTTTCTGCCAATGAAATGATTAGCCTGTTGCAGTTGTATTCTATCAGTTGTCACTAATTACAACTATCATTTACCAAAAATCAGCTATCACTATGAACCACTACTAACCAGATTTACTTGGAGGCCGTCGTCACTTGTGGTGTATGGTCTGCACCCGACGCTCTTCTCGTTTTTGAAGGGGAGGGTACCTGGTCACAGCCGAAGCAATGTGCACCTACCGGATTGCCATTTCCGTGCGCTTTTGAATCTTCTGCGGCGATGCAGAGAGTTTCACAGAATTTTGCTGTTAAGTTCTATTAAATCATGAAGTATGTTCAGATTCGCTTGTCAACAAAGCACATCGTCTGAGCAGTTCATTTGCTGTCCGTCGCGATACCGAATGAGTGCATTTCCAGGTGAGTAGGTGTGCTTCGCTGGATCCGGTACAGAATAGCAGGTTCCCTTGCAGTAGCTCTTGAGTATCTCATAGATTACTTAACAATTTCATGACTCATACGGAATGCACTAAAATATGAGAGCAATTGACGGTGCCGGTTTCTTGAACGACGAAGCCGTTGTTGGGAGCCGCTCCTTGCATTCTGCATCCATTCAGAATCGTAATGGCATTCTGAATGCGATTTAGCCTCCACATAACGTGCAGAGGCAGGTCAATGTGCGTACAATGCGTTCTCGGGGCAAGTCTGGTACCATAACTCACCCCGGAGGAACAAAGGACTTGCTTGACTTGGCTGTTCCGTGATTAATGATTTGGATTGCGGCACTGTTGTGCCCTGGGCAGTAAATAAACGCTCACTAGGCACCGACCGATGAGAGTCCCATCAATAGAAAATCAACGGGCAAGGAAGGAAATTCAGTTGTCGGGTTCTAGGCCATTTTTCTTGTTCACTGACCCATCTCTAACTTTACTCTCGAGTCCTGCTTCTTCAGCGTGAATCCGAATTCAAATGGTTGGATTTTCTGTCTCTCTATCTGATCTCGTATTGAAGGAGGGATTCACGAAAAGAACGAAGTTCGAAAAAGGAGAAATTGTATAGTTGTAAGACAAGCGGGCCTCGTGAGGGTGCTGACCGACGACGCGCGATTTGGCAGCAAAAGATTTGGCCTCGGCGACAGGGTCGGTCCTATCGTTGTACTTTTTCAAAAAATTTTACGACCCCCTCCCCCAAGGTGGACTTGATACGTCCCCTTCTCGACAACTCCATCACCTCGACCCACCATCATTTTTTTTTCAAATTGGCCGTCGAGCGGGGGGGGGGGGGTTATATAGCTACTCCGAAAAAACGATAAAAATTTCCTCTCCTATAATTTCAAAAACAAAAAATTGTGCGTGGTTCAGGACCCACTGGAGTGGCTGAGCAGTGTCCACGGGGTAGTTACCAAGATAGGTAGAAGATAAGATAGGTGGAATTGGGTAAAAGTGGTGAAATTAACCATCTTCACCACTTCTACGCCAATTCTAATCTATCTTCTCCACAGCCTCATTTTCCAAGGGAGAGGCGGAAGCGGCGAATTCTCTCGCATGCGCTCCCAACTCACCTAGCCTACTACTCGTGAAAACTCCACTTTCACCACAAACTCACATGTACTTTCACGCGACTGAAGCGGATACGACCCCCCCCCTCCTATAAACTCAACCAGGTACGACCCCCGTTGTTACTAGTAACAACGTAGGGTTGACCCTGGTCGGAGCCCAAATAGACTCTTGCAGCGCTTACCGGGGTAGTGTGTGTATTTGTCCCACCAACTATCTATAATTCACTCCAGTGCCTAATACGGTTGCGAGTGATTAGATCAATGCGCAAATCAACGGGCACGAGGGGATGACGGGTTTCGGCCGTTTCAATGGTTTCTTCTTCATCCCTGCTCCACTGACCACCTCTACCCTTATTTCCAATGAGCTAACTTTTCATCGTGAATTCTGCCTTTAATCGGAACTTGATTTTCGTCCAAATATTCCAGCTCAGGGATTCACATGCTCAAGCAAACTTTTTCCTGATCGCTGGCTCATCCAAATTCGGCTCTCTTGATATTTCTTGTTCGTTGCAACTACTATCATACATCTACTTTCATTTACAGTAGCGACCAAATTACCGTATCTTATGCCTTCAAATTCGACTAGTCGTTATTGACCCAAACTTCCAAGAGATTGAGTAGATGAGTCCGATTTTGAATCAGCTCTGTTGAGTTGATTGGAGAGTCCCATTTGCTTTGGCTAAGAACGTGCAACCAATTCTATCGGTACGCCGATTGTAACTGCTATGAAAAAGGGTCAATCTTTGGAACTCTAAATATTATAATCTTATTCAATTACGATAACTGGTTTATCTTTTAAATATCAATAAATCTGTTGCTATCTTCACAATAATTGCAATCCTTGCAAGCAGGAAATTTGACTTCTCATTACTCAGCTATTAATTTAAGGAGTTCCTCCATGTGGCGGATACCTGGTGCTCGTCACGAGGTCAATAGGAGGCCAGATTGAAGAACGCTGTGGTAAGTGCCATTAGAGTGCTCTTTGAAATGGTTTATCCGCAAAGCTGAGTTTCCAGAAAGGAGCTGTCCCTATGGAGAGGTCCCGATCGGTGGTGTCTGCTACGGATTGGGAAATATGTAGCAATCGAGAGCCAACCAACGGCGGCCGGCCAGGCTGCTGTCAGCGAGTCGAGCCATGTTTGTACTTCATCAGGAAGTGTCGGCAGTCTCATTTTGACAGTTCCGTGACTGCACGCGAACCGCCAATCGCTGACCTCCTGTCCATCCTCCCACCACTCGCTGGCCACATCTTCTTCTATGAGATCGTCTTTATTCGTGCTTTTCGTTTATTTGTTGCTGCTACAGCTGGCAGGTAGTTTTCGATTACCTCTATGTTTTATGTTCATTTGTCTCATGGTCTCAAGGAGAACCACTGTAGGTACTATTGTACTGTATTTGTTGTTTGTTGATAAAGCTCACTTCTGTGATCTATTTTAACGTTTTTAACCATTGCCAATGCAGAGTAGGGCCCCGTCCACCGTGTCGGAAATTTTCCGTGTAATTACATATACGCTGTACTAACACCTATTGTTAGGCTTCAACTTTCCGAAAAGGAGCTATTATCGTGTTTCATTTTGGCCAGGCTTCAACTTTCCGAAAAGGAGCTATTATCGTGTTTCATTTTGGCATTTGTCCCTTATCTCTATCTCTATGTACGAGTAGGTAATCTGTAATAGCTTCGAGATCCCTTGCTTTAGACTGACTCGAGGAGGGATTTGATCCCAGAAACTTGAGCAAAGTAGCGCCCGTCTCAGCACTCGTACACTCGCCTAAATCAAGCACCAATATTTCGAGCGTTATTCCCGATGCTAATACTATTTATTCTAAAGTATCCTACCTGGTTTGAAACCAAATACGGCCTCAAGTTAGGCGTCGAAAAAGTGTTGGTGCGCCTTGCAGGCCAGCTGCTCAGCCTGGGTCCTAGATCACCAGGACTTCGTTGATCCCAACCTTTGGTCTAATAAACTATATAGTTCTTTCAATTTCGCTTCGATGTGGATCTGTGTACTGAATCTTCGAAGAATAGTTGCTCGTAACCGATACCTAAATAATACCGGTCAAATGAATCACAACGCTGGGGAGACATAAAAAAAAACTGCTTTTTCCTTGAAACACTTCATTACCGAGTGCCTCTGTTATAACACACAGTAGCATCCATCAAGAGCGTCCGTCGCAACGATTTTCGTGCATTACTTTCTTTCCTCTCAGGAAAAGACTCGAAAATCAACCGAAGTTTTTTTTCTCCGATTTGATATCTTGTATCTTCAAAACCCATAGATGCAAAAATGAGAAAAGAACCTCTCAGTTCAGCTCCTAAATAACTATCTGCGTACATGGATGAGGTTCGGGCGATCCTCGTCAAGCAGAAGACGCTGTACACGCCATGCGCTGGGTGTCCCTGTCGTTTTAGTGTGACAGAACTCCATGGCGCGGCCACTCGCTTACAGATTATGCCAAGTTCTTAGCTAGAGTCAAAGTGCAGGCAAGTTTCTTGTTAGAAGTCGGCTAGGCGTCCACAGCGAATCCCAGCAAGGAGGCTAAAGTTGTTGCTCTCGGAATAAGAAAGTCGTTTTGAGTGATTCCTCTAAACATTAGGAACTTCTCTGTACACGAAATGATATTTTTGAAAAACTGAGCTGCACATGAGCCCGATTACATTTGCAAAAAAGGCATGTCAGGACGTTCGTTTTGTCGACTCGAAGTGACATGTTCTAAAGTGAAATGCTTTGGCAATTTGTTAACTTGATAGGCAAAAGTATCGGAATATTATCATCACTCGATAGACAAGGGCAATGCTAACTGATGGTAAAATCGCTTCTTAAGTATATTTTTACTGACTTTTTACTTTTTACTTACTTTTGCAGTAATAAAATAAAAAAAACTGGGTGGGAACGAAAAAATCTGCGATATTGTCTTTTATTCTAGTACCTTTGCGGTGATACAATGAAAAGCTGCTCGGAAATATCTGCAATTAAACAACATTCTTTGATCAACTAGCAGTTCGCTGTTTTAAAGCGAGAGATTACGATAAAGTGCGTATGCAGCGTGGAAGTACATGCACCATTGGAAGCAGTAGTCAGGGGCCCAAGGAAACGAAATGTTGCGTTTTTGTGGTCAAAGGTGCGCTAGTTGCAGCGTACAAGGCTTGCCATTCCTTTCTGAGCCCCGCCACGGTCTGTGCTCCGCCCCCAGCAGCAGCGCCCTTCGATTGCCAATGTGACGAGATATTCCACTTCCAGAGTGTATCCTATAACTTTTCATGGGATGCGTGATCAATCAAAGCATGATGCTTGCTGAAATGATAGAGGCTATCAGCATAACATGTGCAAACGACCTCCTAATTGGTTGCTAGCTCGTCCATTATCGGAGGTCAACGGGCAAAGAAAGGGGTCCCATTTTGCGCCTTTCTTGACGGATTTCTTTGCTTTTTTCGCCACTGGGGCATTATTCAGCATCTCCACTTCCACTATGAACCCAGTCCAAACTTATCGTAATCCCTCGCTTTAAGGAACTTAGTGACATATAGCGCGGCTCAACGTAAACTTCACCAATTGAAATAGAATCATTACAATACAAGAATTCGTTGCCAATAAAAACGGGTTGGTCCATCTGGGTCTTTAGAATGTTGGAGCTCTGGAAAAGTTGTTCTAATATCTGTTGCATTTGTCTGTTTAATATCTTGTTTTCTGTTTTAAAGGCAAAAGTCGGGCTCAATAAGGGGGTATTATGGCGATTGAAACTGAGTATAGAGATGCGAAGTGGAAAAAAACTGAGAAAAACCGTCGACAAGGCCGTTAACAAAACCCTCTTTCCCACTAGCAGTGAAGGAGGCTGGCTTGGGGAAGAGGCACGTACAAACAAGTTTTCTGAAGATGTCAGTCGTTCTATCGGTTGATACGGCAATCAACCTAGCTGATTTCACACGTTATGCCAGCCACGCACCACATTCCGGAGGTGGGCGGTCGTAGCGGGGCCAGGCGGCGATAAGGATAAAAAAAAGGATAAAGCATTTGCCGTTGATCAATCCCTTTTTGGGATGCGGCACGCATTCTACTTCCATTTGTACATTCGTAGTGGCGTTTGAATGCGATGTGGCCTATACAATGACTTGCGGGGGCCAGCCGATGTACAAGTCAGTGTTTTTATCCTCCCAGACAAGTCTGGTACCAATTAACCGACCCCGGAGGGATGGAAGGCTTGGTTGGCCCGGGCGACTCACGACCCAGGATTTGATCCCCGGACCGCTCGCGTGGTAAGCGCGCCACTTGTCACTACACCACTTCCGCCCGCCAAGCGGCGATAGCGCATAGTACATGCCCTGGGGCCTTATTACTGCGCCGTTTCGGGTTTTGAGTGTGGGAACATCTCTACGGGTGCGTAACCAAGTACAGGCATGACCGAAAGGGTTGGTTTGGTCAACTAATCCCGACCTTTGCCTTTAAGGCGTCGTTCCTTGAAAGTACCCACGTATGACTGGAAAAGTGACAGTTCATAGGAAGAGGTTTTATGAGAGAGTTCGCGACAAAGATTCTAGTTGAAATTGTGCACCGTTGCTCGGACGATAATGGATTGCGCCACTGTGGAGAGAAAAGTTAACAGCACCCACATGGAGAGATTCTCGCGTTCTCATCTCGCTTGCTACAATTGAGAACAATTTACTTTTACGTCTAAACTCAGGAAGCACCCAGCTTTCATGCGAGTTGGTTTGGAATCAAACTCTTTAGGCAAACTTCTCAATTTGCGCACGACCACTACCCTTTGCTTACTTCAATCTTAGTAATCGTATAAAGTATATATACGAATTTACGATTGTGGCAAGAAGGCAGAGAGTTTGAAAGTCACCAAGGGACGTCTGTCTCCGGAAACTCTCGAACTGATACGCCAGCGTGGAGCCGCACGAGCTGCAGGCAATCACCGACTCACGTCCGAGCTTGCGAAGCTATGCAGAGAGGCGATAAAGGAAGATCTCAAGGAGCGAAGAGCAGCAGTATTAGCTGAAGCAGCAGAGGCTGGGAGGAGCATCCGCAATGCCCGCCGAAGCTTTGCCAGCTACAAGACCAAGATGACCTGCCTCCGACGTCCGGATGGAACAGTTACTGCATCCCGAAGGGCAATGGAGAAAGTCATCCACGACTTCTACTCGGATCTCTTCGATAGCCATGTCCATCTGCCTACTTATCAACCGCAAGAGGATGGATACGTCGTCCCTCAGTTCTCTCTTCCGAAGTCCGACACGCCATCAAGTCGGTGAAGAATCGTACAGCACCCGGTCTCGACAGGGTCAAACCGGAACATCTGAAGAATGCGCCGCCAGTTATCATCAAAACTCTGGCTCGACTCTTCACGCGCTACCTGTCGGAATGCAAGGTACCCACTCCGTGGAAAACCAGCAGGACCGTGTTGCTGTACAAGAAGGGAGACCTGGACGACATTGGCAACTATCGCCCAATCTGCCTGCTGTCTGTAATCTACAAGCTATTCACTCGAGTCATCCTTAACAGGATCGGCAGAATACTAGATGAAGGACAGCCATGCGAGCAAGCAGGGTTTCGAAGAGGGTTCAGCACGAGGGGGCGGAGCGATAGTGTCTGACGGTATTTATACAAGGTATTATCGTTATTTTAGTTTCATCGTAGTTATACATATAATTTTGGTTGTTATCTTTTTCTTCTTTGTCTCATTCGATCGACTTGAAGAAGGCCTTCGACTCTGTGGAGACAGAAGCGGTCATCGAAGCCTTGGGCAACCAGGGCGTCCCTACTCAGTACATCAAGATTCTTCGTGAGCTCTACAGCAACTTTACGACCAGAATCTCACCATTCTACAAGGAGGTCATCATCGACGTCAAGAGAGGGGTCCGACAGGGCGACACCATCTCGCCCAAACTCTTCAGCGCCGCTCTCGAGAACGTCATGCGTCAACTGGAATGGGAAGACATGGGAGTGAAGGTCGACGGCCGGCAACTACACCACCTTCGTTTTGCTGACGACATCGTTCTTATAACGCCGAACATCGAGCAAGCGGAGCGAATGCTGGCTGATTTCGACTGCGCCTGTGGTAAGGTTGGTCTGCAGCTGAACCTAACGAAGACGATGTTTATGAGAAAACGGATTGGTTCCTGATGCCCCATTCACGCTCAACGGAACGAACATCACCGAATGCTCCAGCTACGTGTACCTAGGTCGGGAAATCAATATGATGAACGATCTAGCTCCAGAGCTGAGCAGGAGGAAACGAGCGGCTTGGGGAGCGTACAAGAACATCGAGGGAGTAGTGAAGAAGACGAAGAACATCCGGCTCCGTGCCCACCTCTTCGATTCCGCTGTCCTTCCTGCCCTAACCTACGCCTCAGAGACTTGGACTCTGCGCAGGCAGGACGAGCATGCGGTCAGCGTTATCCAACGCGCTGTCGAGAGGACGATGCTAGGAGTAACCCTATACACGCAAGTGCAGAGGGGAATCCGGAGTTCCGAACTACGCCAACGATCGAAGATCAGGGACGCTGCCGTTTTCGCCAAGGAATCGAAGATAAGGTGGGCCGGACACGTCATGCGATTTTGCGATGACCGTTGGACCAGAGCGGTTACCGACTGGATCCCTCGGGACGTCAAACGAACACCTGGACGACCGCCGGCCCGATGGTCAGACTTCTTCACGAAAGCTCTGAACGAAAGGAATGAAGGACTTCGTGTCCCTCGAGCGAAGGATCCACTGGACACCCTAGCACACGACAGGGACGAATGGAGACGTTGCTGGCGCCCGCTCGAGCAAATCGACGATCAACGGGACGACAGGTGATACAGGTGATACAGTTAACTAATTTCCGGCAGCATAAGCCCCGCGCGTTACCTAAGAAACACCTCCGCGCTAATGCAGTGTAATACTGTACACTTAGAACAGCTACGTAATGTTCCCTGTATAGACGTAATTAAAATGCACCTGATTGCGAAATTTCGCTTTTATTTTTAGCGGTGTGGCGCCATCTGGCCCAGTTGGCGTACATTTGTCACACCTTGTTTGAACAATTGGGTGTAACCTCCGCTATATTGCGTTTGTTTGTGCCGCTGGATTTACGAGATATGATATTCATTCTATTTGGCGCCTATTTTCTGCTCATCTGCGCTCTAAAACCGAGAGAATATGCGTAGAACAACGTTAACGCCAAAAACGAATGTCATATTCGTAATCAGGGTCACCAAATAACCCCTATACTGAAGTTTACACCGATTTTGGTGAAAACAAGGGTCGTGACAAGGTGGCGCCAACTGGCGCCAGATGGCCGCCACCGCTAAAAACGAATGTCGTTTTCGTAATCAGACATCGAATTCACCCCTATGGCGCCAATTATGGCTTTGCCTCGAGGGCGTTTATGTGAGCTATGGTGAGCGCCAAAGTTTCCTCTTAATATTTGCTTGATGATGTCGCTTCTCATTTTCAATGCATGTTTACTTTAGCCTACATACATACATTTGATGTAGGTCTTTTATCAGCGTAATCCCAGTTGGGAAGACAGAGAAAATTTAAAGGAATTTTCGTCCCCTAACCCCTTCGGGGAGCATAGCATAACGCCCAAATGTACACAGTGCCACGTGTACAGCAGAGGTGGTGTTTACATTGATATCGACGTTCGTATTACCGGAAATTAGGATATAGCACGCAAACTTCGAGGATATAAAACTCAGTTGCGATCGTTATATCGTCACTTTTTGTTCCTCCTTTTCGACTAATTTTGGGAAACAAGGAAAATTTTGACAAGATCGCTCTGATGTGTGCTACATTCAAAGTTCTGGAATAAGTTTTTGAGCTAGCACTATGGATCAAATCTCATAAGAGCCCTTTTAAGAGAGCGCCAGAAACTCGCTTTCAAATGAGATGAGTTGGTCATGCAGTAACGCTTCAAAACTGATCTAAAAATAAGACACTTAATCAAAGCTGAAACATCAAAAACGACAGTAACCTTTTGAACGAACGATGTATAAGTGCTATGAAAACCACGTGCTTCAAGAGAGCTCAATACTAACTCGATTATTTGCATGAACGTAGTCGGCTTTCTTTTTTCTTACAAAAATTCAATGAGAAACTTCAAGATTAACTTCTATATTTAGGCTACAACCAGCTGCTCTTCGCCTTCGTCAAACATGGTTAAAAGTATGTGTAACTGCGCGTCAAAGCCTCAACAAAACCTAAGATTCTTTCACTAAGCTAGGAAAATAGCAAATAATAAAAAAATAAAAAAAAAAAAAGAAACACCCCAAAATCTCAAAAGTATTGATAGACAGAGGCATGGGACTGCTCTAAATCAGATTGCCAAAAGGTCGAACATGGAATCAATAAGACAATCTATATGAACTGTCTTTTGAAAACGGATCAAGGTTATTCGAGATAGAAAAAACTAGCACTTTCAGAATGACAGCAGATCGTGTAACGGCATATCCCTGCCTAGAAGTAGTGCGTAAAAAAGATGTGGAAGCGCCGGATACCTAATCGTTGTGAGAGTGTCTCCTTCCATGAATATTGCTCCCTTGCCCACGACGAAAAAGTTATTGGAATGTAGGCTATGAACAAACCTCGATTCGTTCCCCGATAGCTGCTTTTTCAGACTGCTCGTCCGAGCAGCACCATCGACCGGAACGTCAGACCGGCAGCGGACGAGTAGGCGATGCGTGCGCATTCAATACAGATTGCCTTACTGTAAGTGATAAGTTTTGAGTCTCGACGGCTGTAAAGCCCCTGCTTCTCCACGAGTGACAGTAACCTTCTTTAGGGCATGTTTTGTAACGCTGGTCTCTGCTCGTGTTTGACGTCATACATTGCCGCCGAGTCGTACTGCTACCAAAGTAAGTTCTTTCCATTGGTTTTCATCGAGAAATCAGAACATGAGGGCTTTTAGAGATCGATCCTGGACAACCTGGATGTGTCTACAACGAGCAGTGTTCCGCCGTTTGGCCAGATGCTTTCTGTGACACCTCAGCCGGCGTGGGTACTTGTCGCTGCGGAGAGAATAAGGTAGAGCAACTTCTTCGTCCAGCTTGCGATCATAGCGATTTTCTTCCGGAAACATCGGACCATTCCAGGTCGAACGGGTCACCCGTGACGGACATGTCTGCCTCGATATGCTAGATGGCAACCAGAATATTCTCGCTATTACTTGCCCCCTTCCAGAAGGTGCCGGGTAAGCTCACATAATTTTCTTTTGTATTTTGATTCCAAGGCGGAAGTGGTGTAGTGACAAGTGGCGCGCTTACCACGCGAGCGGTCCGGGGATCAAATCCTGGGTCGTGAGTCGCCCGGGCCAACCAAGCCTTCCATCCCTCCGGGGTCGGTTAATTGGTACCAGACTTGTCTGGGAGGATAAAAACACTGACTTGTAACATCGGCTGGCCCCCCCCCAGGTTCGTTTACCTCGTCCGGGCCAACCAACCTTCCGTCCTTATGGGGAATTCACCGACCTGTATAATTGTTGGCTACCGCTGTCGTTGTAAAGGCCAACGCATTCAATATTGCCACTAAGTTGTTCCTGAATGAAAGTAGCATGTTGGCGCACTCTCAAAGCGGATTGATCACCGAAGAATATTTTTTTTAATCCACATCTTATTCAACGGTGATTGACTTGACTGATTGACCTTCATAAGGTTTCCTGCTATTGGGCTATTGCAGGTACACTTCGGCCTTGTCAGATTCTCATCATCCGCGTCAGACCAACAGCGCGGGGCCAGTGCTGTGCAATACTGAGAGCATGGCCACCCAACAAAGTGGCGACGAACTTGGTGACGGCTCGGCTGCCTGTCTGTTCCCATCTACAGGTGGTTATATAGCCGATATCTATGACTGCGTCGGTCGTCTCCTCCGGGGTCGATCTCACGTCGTCGGGGATCTACGCGACAAAAGCTAACGGCATCTGCCTGCCTCCGAATAGAGGTTAAATTGTGTAGTGAGCAGTGTTGAATAGTTAGAGTATGAATATAGTTCAGGATTTTACTGTGCATTCAACGACCGGCCACCTGACCAATCCCACTGAGCGCGGATGGTGTACAACTCGTATAAGCAGGTATGAGGTAATATTGAGGTTTTGCATTGGGTTGTGAGCAGTCTTTAAAAATGCAAGAAGAGAATGTGAATTTGCACGACCGGCAGGCACCAACTTTCCTTGCTTTTATCGGTTAATGTGTAGGCACCACTGGCATTGTCGTGTCATTCAAATGCTCTTTGCAAAGCGATCCATTATAACCCTAAGTTTTGGCGATTAGCTTAAACAGTAGTACTTATGAGGGATGGGCGACAAACGTTTGCCGGATTTTTCAACTAAAGACGGAGACATTTACGCTTACTCATCTGGTTTTAATCTGACTTTTGTGAATGGGGGCGAGATTTTCATTTCAGAGTACCAGTAATACACTGCCCAAAAGCTGACCCACACATTGCCTAAGATTTCACCACGTAGTTCATTAAAGCAAGGATCGGAATGAAAGGGATGTGGTCATCATTCAAATATGGAAGCGAGGATGCGAAGAAGGCAGAAAGTGGAGAAAGAATGGAAAGAAATCGGTTGAAACACAGAAAAAAGGAACCTTCTGGCCGCACGAATGGTGGAGAAGTGTAAAAAGCAGGCAGCTAAAAGATCAGGTGAGATTGCGGGGGGACAGGGAAAGGAATCTGTGTCGGAAGAGCACGACAGATCAATCTTGTGACATAAGGTATGAAGGCGGTGGGGTGGCTTTGGTGTTTTCTGCGGCAGCGGGATTCAAATCTGAAGCTGCAGGCGTTTAGTGACGCTTCAAAGGCGCGAAGGTGGTGCGCCACGTGCATTGTGTGACCTACTACCCCACAGGAGAGTTTTATTCAATGAAGCTGAGCCGGATCCTTGCCTTGCACTTCTCGATTTTCAATGATAGTCTACAATAAAACGGTTTTCAGGGATGTGCCAGCAGTTCTTGTGGGATCCGACCGCAGTGGGACAAGGAGAACATTCGCCGAACAATTTCAAGACAATCGAGCACTGCGAGAGCTATTGCAGAGATGGTGAGTATAGTGTCACATATCCATTGGAAGAAGATTCTTTTTTTTGCCAAGGAGTGAGATTTTTTCAGATTCCCTTAGACCGGTCCAGAATTTTTTCCAAGAATGTAGGATTTTTTTAATTCCTTCTCAGTGAAAACAGCGACCAGTGAGGCTAAATTATCTACACGGTTATGAATGCCTAGCCAGCTACACATGAATCCGGTCTATAATACTGAATACCATTCCAATCTGAATGCTTGAGGCTGCACCCGAGGCGCTCCTGAGTATGAATCCCGTATGTCGTTCCACGAAGGAGACACCAATCACCGGCTGCTCCCAGTCGACTACCTGTTCGAACAATTACGAGTGCAAAAGTGTGGGCAGCTCACAGTGGTGCTGCCCCAGTGTGGGTATGTCTTTCGAGGCAAAAGTTGTGTAGGGACAATCTAACTGCATCAGTTACTTTCAGCGTCTGTTTGCGGTCCTATTGGGGGACGCCCGCTTGACACATCTATTTATTCACGTGGTTCTGTATATCACAATGGAAGTGAGAACAGGGTAAGTTTGATGAAGTCTCTCTGATGAATGGGGTGAGATATTTCTCACTTATCTTTTTCACCTATTCCAGGGCACGACTCCTTCGACACGCTTTTTCTACGACCCGGCCACTGGGAAATGCTCTCCATTCACGTACCTCGGAGCAGCAGGAAACTACAACAACTTTCTATCCAGAATCGACTGCGAACTGTACTGTGCCAGATGTAAGATTATACCATTCATGTTTTTCAAAACTAGGTGATACCTACATTTCACTTGCTTTCTTTATTCTCTTCCTTCACATTCTTTGCTATCTTCGAGTGATTGGTTTCGAAATGAATTCGCCGAAGAAATGTGATTTTATTCCCTGGGGGAACTGGTGTTGGGTAACCCAAAAATCCGTTCTTTCGAGAACGCACCCACGAAGAGCTCAGCATTTTAATCACCATTTTAGAAAAAAAATCCGAATGTCCGAATAGGCGATAACAGCACCACATGGTGCGATTAGCGCGTGCGCACTATTGCATTCCCGTGGTATTGGTAAGGGCAACTGCCTTTTTCGCCCAAGCCCCACCCACGCTGTGCACACTCCGCCCACCAAGAGAATCTGAATGCCCTCATTTGCTGGTATCGATTCGCTTCTTTTCTTGGCTCTCGGGCACTTTTCAATCACTTTGTGGATTTTGGACCTACCTCCATCCTTCTCGGTGCATGGCTTTGTCATCAGTACCAATTCAGCTCTTCTTCTTTCACGTAAACTTTTTCCCCGATATAGAGCACCGATAGCCAAATTTTTGCGGCAGGCTCACCACCTACTCATCAATATCACTTGACCTGTCCTCTTTCGTCAACTTTTACCCATCTTTCTCTGGTCTCTGAGCACTCTCGAAACCGAGTTAGCGTTATGTGGCAAACTCTGCCCGCTTTGATGCAACCGGCCACCGTAAAGGTAACCTCCCCTCTGCCTGTTCTCTTTGTTCTCGGATTTTCGGGACTCATCTGAACTTAAATGTGAGGATAAATCTTGCCCACTCAATGTCGTAGGTCGGGATTTGGTACCAAGAGGAAGTCCGTCCGAGAATGAAGTCCAAGAGGAAGTCCGTTCCAGAACGAGAAACGGAAGTCTCCATGGCCAGGAGCAGCGACACGCCGCGAATCAAAAGTGCGAGACTACAGTGTAAGGCTTTGCCTTGTGTGCTGCCGTGCTGCTATCCGGTGCTGCCATCATTTCTACTTCAGGCAGTCGAGGCCGTGCTGCGACACCCTCTCGCTTCACTCTTGCTCTCCCTCTGTTTCTCCTCCCTTCTATGCGGTGTGTTCATCCATCTCGTCACACTGACCTACAAGGGAAATTCCAGCGTCCATTCATGGCGCTTTTTGCTTTTTTCCCGGACATTCCTCATGCACTTCTTGTCTAATTTTTGAACAGAACTAAACCAATCGATCCCGACGCGTGTCTTTACGTGTCAACGCGAACGAATCTTACGACACATCGTCCCTAAGTTCACCACCGCAGCCAGCCCCCCACATTAGTTCGTTTTTACGACCTGGCTCCGCCCTTTCTACCAGCAGCTGTCCAGGAGATGAGTTTTGTAAATTGCTGCTCCTTTTTGGAATTTTCTTTTCTCTTACCCGGAGCTTTGTACACGATCGCCTTAACACAGAACATTTGTTCATTGGAAGAAAATTGGTCTCCGTAAAAAATGTCTTTTATTATCCTGTTGATAAAAAATATTAGTTTTCAGTGCCAGTGTGATCGAGGAGGAATCCGCTAAGAATCGGTGACGTCACCCAATCCTGTCAGTCAAACAGCGACTGTCCTCATCTCATGAGTGCAGAGTTGATCAGTCAGTCTGCTGTCCTCGAATGCGTGAGTGACTTAGCCTATGAAAAGGATAGTGGATCTGAAAACGGGCCTCCTACCTGTAGAAATCAACTTTAGAGACGATCTGCACCCAGCCACTACGTGTAGGGAACTGTGATCGATCAGTAAGAAGGTATTGGTACTCAGCAGCCACAAGGGAGTGTCAGTCTTTTGAATACACAGGTACTTTTACCGTAATTTTTTGTTGGACACTGAAGATTGGAGAGTTATTCAGGATGTCAGGGGAACGACAACAACTTTGAAACGCTCGTCGATTGTCAGACCTTCTGCAGAAATGCTTCACGTAAGTCAAACATCATTAGGCTAAGGGTGCACAAAAAATATTCGACAGATTGCGCGAGCTGTTTCCTCGGGCTCAGTTATGCTTTGAAAAATTTCAGCAGAACCGCGATGTCTGCAGGGTCAAGCCTATAAGGACACTTCGGGAAAGTTTGTCACGTGCTCAACCAACCGGGCTGCTTCATCCTGCCCGATCAACTACGAGTGCTACCACGACGGCAATATGTATGGATGTTGTCCCACAAAAGGTTAGGGAGATGTCTGCGTCACCGAATAGCAAAAAATTAAAGGAATTCATTTTCAGCGTTCACATGCTCATTGGCGTCAAACCCAGGGAAAACCTGTGGGCCAGGTGTCTCGTTCAAATTCTACTACAATGCCCAAACACAGGTTAGTCGAGACTTTAGCAGCCTTACTGATTGGTTTGGGACGCGACGGGATGGACGGTGTTGAAGTCTTACATTGGCGCGCGTCCAACGTACCAAGTATTCAAGACCTTGAAGCTCGGAAGTGACGTTTTCTATACAAGTTTTTACGTACAGTACTCGCCGTTTGAAATCGAAAATTCACGCGAATAACGCGAATCCTCGTTAATTTCGTGAATTCGTTATAACTCGGGTCAGAGTGAAGTATTCCAGAAACGGAAAACACCGTTGAACTCAGCTCTTCAAGCGCTACAAGATGGTGCTAAAATATTTTCAGAAAGCTTGATTTCGGAATGCGCCATGCACTCGATTTCATCTCAAAAAGTAGTTGCTCGCATGTGATGTGTATATAATCCCGCTTATGCGGGCTAACCGCTACACACAAAGAAGGGCCTCAAAACTTACCCCAGA